CTGCTGGTTTTCCTCCAGGAGGACCGGTCTGACCGCCGTATGTAGTCCAAACGGGTTGCGTATATGTACTAACAAATAGATACATAAGATATGAGAAGGGACATGGTATTCTCATTTATGTTCTTTTCACTGTATACAAAAGCCTCTCCTCTCCTCTTTTATATAGACAATTCTCATATATGGAAAAGTAGGGTGAGGCCCATTAGTATATTGGGATGGCCTTCATGGGCCAAAAGCCCAAGTTTCTTGACAGATCTATTTTTTTATATTTTCTTTGATGAGACACTAATGTCTTAAAACCATTAAATGAACGACATCCAAATTCTGAAGATACAGTCCAATAAATGAAAATTTGTTTTCCTGTATAGTACCTGGCAATTAAATATCATAGAATCCTATAAAAGCATTTAATGCATATGTTTAATTTAATTATTATTTAGTATCTGAAAGGTTCATTGCCTATTTCTATATAAGTAAGGACGAATGAATATTGCTAACATATACTTACATGCATACTGAAACATAAGAGAGAATTAGAAACACAAGAAAAGAAATAAAGCCATAGGTATATCGCCCACGATATGGCGATTTTCAAGAAGGATGGTACTGCGGTTCTCTTTGTCATGGTCACAGCTATGTTCCTCTCTTCCTGGCAAGCAGGTATATAAGCTCTTCAATTCTTTAATTGTATATTGCTCTGTGTGTGTAACGTTGATTGGGATGGGTTGGGAACCATCCGATCGGTTCTAGTCTCAACAATGGAAAGTTATTTTAATTTGAAATATATATGTATATATATGTTTCTCACAAGAAGAAATTAAATGGAGAAATTAATATATGAAACGGAGGCATATACAAATTATGTTTTGTGGACAAATAAAACATCTCTACTTGTCCAGGATATAAATGAACAAATTAACTAGCTAAGTAATTAGCTTAATTATCAATGGTGTTCAAGGATTTTTTTTTCCTACTTAATTTTCTAATTATAAGCATATGCATGCAATATACAGCTTTCCATTACAAATTGAGCTGCGCCAACCTGCCAAAATGCACGGAACATGCATGCGTAGCGGATTGCAACCGCAGAGGTTTCCAGGTTGGTGTGGGACTAGTACATTGCATGGATGGACGCCCCGATCAATGTTGCTGCGTACATGGCGGCCTTCTTCATCCTGACGACAAGTTAACGACCAATTAATTAGGCGATGGATGGATTTCTGACATGAGCAATGTATTATTGTCAATGATTGTATGTGCAATTGCTGCAATGCAGCTGATCGATCTCTTCGATCTTTTTGCTCTTTCATGCATGCATGTGTCGATCGATCGACCTAGCTATATATTTGATGCCGACCAATAAACAAAGTTTATAGATGGGAAGATTTGGCTCTCTTTCTACCCAATAATTGGCTTGATATATAAACATCATTGTACACAGTGGATGAGTGGAGGATCGGAGCTAGAAAATTTATAAAGCCTGAACAAGCTTAACTAAAACGTTAAAATCACTACCACTTATTTAATGTTTATATGCTCATTTTACTATCGAACAATTTTCTAAAAAAAAAACAGTTCAATATGGTTGTAAAATTTCACTATAGTTGAAGCAAGATGATTTTATTATATAAATGGACGATTCATATGCCTGCTAGTTGAGTAGATCACGTCCTCCATTGCAAGACAGACAAATCAACAAAGGTGTTGAGGCATAGTAACTATCTACACAAAAGAAAAATTACACATAGAGGTTTATACGTAGAATATTCATATAAAAACTTTTTAAAATTAAATTTGAAAAGCAAAATGTTAAAAAAGATAGTGGGCTGTGAAGCCCATGTGGCATAGGGAGGTGCCTCAACAAACGGCGTGTGTCATCTCATCTGATTGGTTCCAATAGACTCAAAATGTAGGGCATTGCACGCATTTTTCAATAACGCGTCCTCGTGGCATGTGAGCATTTGCGTATTAAGGGGAAAGGATATAGGCAGAAGCATGGGAGGCATATCTGGCAGCAGACGTGTGTATAGCATGCGACAGCACGGCGCTTGGCAGCAGAGAAATTTCACTCTTTGCCATCCAATTCATATCTAATTATCTAAAGCCGGCGGTTTTCGATCGGTCCATGTGGCGGAATAATTTGCGTGCAAATTTGATAATGCGCTCCGTCGCTTGTTCAATATAAGAAAGGAAATTAACCCCTCGACCAATCCGGGGAACACATATTAGGCAAGTGAAAAAAAAAGGATAAAACAGGCGCTCCGAATCTGTAAATGGGTCGCACAACCCAGTCGTGGGCTTGCTCGCCTGGTGGCTGTCACGGTGTTCAACTACGGTCTGCATTACAGGATGAGTAAACAGAAATGCTAGGAGATAAGCAAAAGTAGAGGAAGACATAATAGGAAAAAAAACAGAAGTGAAAATAAAATTTATAAAACCCAACCATTCATCCATCCATCTATCTATCTATCTATCTATCTATCTATCTATCTATCTATCTATCTGTCTATCTATCTACTCCCCCCGTCCTTAAATATAAGAGATTTTGGACGGATGTGACACTTCTTAATACTACGAATCTGGATAAAGAGCATGTCCAGATTCATAGTATTAGAAAGTGTCCCATCCGTCCAAAATCCCTTATATTTTAGGACGGATGGAGTATTTATCTATCTATCTCACAAAAAAAAGTAAAATTAAAATTTATAAAATTTATATATCTATCTTAAGATGGACAGTCTTTCCACAGTTGATTGGACCACATGATGTGGTTAATGTTAAGATAAATCTTTAAAAATTACAGAGCATAAAAAATACATAAATCCGGATAATAACTTTTCCATATCCTATAGAATACCAAACTCTGTGCCCCATTAATTAGAAAACTAACAATTCATATAAATTCTGGAGGTTTCGATATTTTTTAACCCTTGCAATTAATCAAAGAAATGCTTAATTTCTTCAAATCAAAATAAAATGAAGACCAAAGCTGAAGAAAGAAGATGTATTTACTTCTTAGTCTAAAATTAAAAAAATCTGGAAAGGAATACAGATATTGAAGAATAGGGCCTCCACTTCATCTTCTTCAATCGATTAAAACTGAAGAAAATAACAAAGATCAAAGTGTGAAAAGGATTAAAAAGGAAAGGAAATAAACAAAGAAAAACATTCCTCGAACTACCGATCACTACTTCTCAATGGCTACCACTCCCACAACCCATGTTGTTGATAATAGTGTCTTTTTATGTGCACTAAAAACAAGGCAAACGAGCAATAAACATAACAAGTGGGTTATAAAATTTAAAGTGCCAGCGCACCTATTTTCTAGTGTCTTTTAAAAACGGCCATCCAATTTGCAAGATTTTTAGGTTTTGCCACCCATATTGTGATCTTGTCGCTCCGTGCCACTCGGTGTATCTGACCAGGCCGTCCTATAGTGCGCCAGGATGGGGCCAAACAAGCCGGATAATTGTGTTAGCTTAGATAATTAGGATGGATCAGCTAGGAGCTTGTGTCACAATATATTCATCCAAACTGGAGTATGTGGCTTCACTTATACACATCTTTATAACAATATATAACTATAGTTAGTGGAAGATGATTATGCCAGCGTGGGTTCGCGGTGTCAGGACTCCATCACTGAAGACGCAGAGATAGCCAACGATGCTGTGTCCTGCCGGATATGCTACAGGGCAAGGGCCAAGTCCGGACTCGACAGAAAGGAGATGGGCCGAGACAAGGCAGGCACAACCCAAGAGAACCAACGCGTACATAGGCCCAGGAACGTGATAGGTGAGTGAGTGAGCAAGAACCGGAGATAGATCGGAGTAGAACACGGCGGTGACGGTGGCTTGATCCTGTTGGATCAAGAACTCTGTATCGTGTTCCTTCCATTTCGAATACAAGCAACTACCGATTCTTTCTCCCAAATCCCCTTTCATTTCATTCGCTAGAGCTCACACGCGGCCATGCGTGATCACGGTGCGTCACAGAGACGTGTTTGGATGCCATGCGCGCTGCTGGTGTGGTGCTTTGTGTTTACCAACCGCGATTTCTACCAATCTCTGCATACGCCGGCGACTTGGCCAAGTCGGCTATATGGTAGATTTAATTTTGTCGGGAACGGCAAGAGCGGAACGAGTATACAGAGAGGGTTTCATTTTTTGCAATTCATTCAAGGAGATTCAAAAGGATTCGAGAGGTGGTTCTTTACCTTCTTCTCTGGTAGAGCATACATATTACGCAACCCCTTTGATACGTATAGTAGTCCTAACAGGTTGCGTAAGTGGACCAACAAATGGAGACACAAGATGTGAGGAAGGACAGAGTATCTTTTTTTTTTTAAATTACACAGTGCAATACAGACACTCACAACGCACGCGCACTCACCCCTATGAACGCACGCACGCAAACCCTACCCCTATGAGCATCTTCGAAGATTGAGCCAGCAAATCCTTGAGATTGACGAAGTCACCACAGGTGCCTCGCTATCGACGGATACGTCACCTACCACTGAAAGCACAACGCTATTAAATCCTAGAAAATTCGCTCCCATGCGGAGTCGAACCCAGGGCCTCAGGTGCTACTGAAGCTCTTGTAACCACTAGTCTACATGTCTTTTCGCAAGGACAGAGTTTTCTCATTCACGTTCTTTTCACCGTATACAAAAGCCTCGACTCTCCTCCCTTTATATAGCCAATTCTCATATGTGGAAAGTAGGGTAAGGCCTATTAGTGTGTTGGGCTGGTCTTCTTGGGCCAAAAGCCCAAGTTTCTCAACAATCCATTTTTTTTTATATATTCTTGGATGTGATATTAATGTCTTAAAACCATTAAATGAACGACATCCAAATTCTGAAGATGTAGTCCAATAAATGAAAATTTGTTTTCCTGTATACGTGGCAATTGAATACCATAGAGTTCTATTAAAGTATTGAATGTATATATTTAATTATTATTTAGTATCTGAAAGGTTCATTGTCTACTTCTATATAAGTAAGGACGAATGAAAATTGCCAATATACTTACAAGCATACTGAAATATAAGAGAAAATTAGAAACACAAGAAAGGAAAGAAAGCTATAGGTATATCGCCCGCGATATGGCGATTTTCAAGAAGGATGGTACTGCTGTTCTCTTTGTCATGTCTCTTATGGTCATAGCTATGGTTCTCTCTTCCTGCCAAGCAGGTAAGCTCTTCCATTCTTTAATTTTATATTTGTTGTATATATTTACTAGGAATATACACGTGCATTGCAAATATCCATGCATGCATATGATGCAAAGGCCCATGTGATTGGGATGGGTTGGGAATACCATCCAATCGGTTCTAGTCTCAGCAATTAATGGAAAGTTTTTTTAATTTGAAATATGGACGCGTCTATGTAGCGTGCAGTAGCACGTTAGTCTTAAATCAAGACCTCTCACTTTTCCAATTTCATCTGTTACTTTTGTCACATACCCCATCTACTTTCTACCATCTAAAATTCAAATAAAATTATTTATCCGATCTACAATCTAATTACACTATTGTGTTTATTGTAATTAAATATTTATAATAAGATCTTACATGATTATATTATAATAAAAAAATTTATGTTGTAAATTACTTTGATTATATATCTAAGTTACTTTTATCATATATATATAAATTACTTCTAGATTCTATTAATTACTTTTTAGACATACAGTGAACAGTTTACTTTATTGGTTAGTTTTATAATATGTTTATTAAATTTAATTTCTAGATAGACCTATGTTTCTAGCCCCACAACAGATTTACTTTTAATGTCGTAACAAGTTACTTTCTTCTTTTTAAGTTACTATATGTAAATTACTTTTAAGCTTTATTGAATTTATTTTTATATGTCTAAGAAGTAATTTAATGAAATCTAAAAATAATTTAGATATATTATAAAAAAATGTAATTTTTTATCTAAAATATAATCATGTAAAATCTTGTTATAAAGATTTAATTGTTACGAACATAACGGTGTAATCGGATCATAAATCGAATAAGTAATTTAGGAGAAAATTTCATTTGAAGTATAAGTGGTATGAATATATTTTCTACTTACTTGATGGACTACTACTTTAAAATTCTTCCGCTCATGCGATGTCATCGCTGGTTACGACTAAACGAGATGCTCTCGGTTTAGATTTTAAGTTGAAATATATATATGTATGTTTCTCACAAGCAGAAATTAAATGGAGAAATTAATATCTGAAACGGAAGCACATACAAATTAGGCGTGGACAAACATCTCTACACTTGTGGAGGATAAATAAAGAAATTAACTAGCTAATTAACTTATCAGTGGTGTTCAAGGATTTAACTTTTTTCCTATTTAATTTTCTAATAAGCATATAAATATATTAATCTGGCTGAATTATACATGCAATATGCAGCTATCCATTTCAACTTGCACTGCGCCGACCTGCCAAAATGCACTGAACATGAATGCATGGCGGATTGCCACCGCAGAGGTTTCCAGGTTGGTGTGGGACTAGTGGATTGCATGGATGGACGGCCCGATCAATGTTGCTGCAGACATGGGCTTCTTGATCATCGTGATGACAAGTTAACGACTAATTAATTAGGCGATGGATTAATTTCTCACATGAGCAATGTATTATTGTCAATGATTAATTACATGTGCAATTAATTGCTGCAATGAGCTGATCGATCTCTTCGATCTTATTGCTAGCTCTTTTCATGTATGTGTCGATCGATCCACCTAGCTATTTGATGCGGACTCAATAAACAAAGTTTACATGGGAAGAATTTGGCTCTCTATAATTGGCTTGATATCTTGACTTATAAGCATCATTGTACATTTTCATACTGTTCATGTGGAGCTATAGCAGCATCTGAAATTGAGTGAATTAATGGGTATAGAAAAATAAGACAAGCAGCAGATAAAGACGATTATATATACTTGACTCCGGTCAAGTAGCTAGCACACAATTAACTATTGAACGTTGTATAGGTACTCTCTCATGTTAATAAATACTTCCTCCGTCCAGGATTATAAGAGATTACTAGGTCATACCCCGCGTTTTGCTGCAGTATTCATGGATGAGTATATGTTAAATATTTTTGAAATGATGAAAGTTGAAATACTGAGAAAATAATGTGAGGAAGATGATTTGACACATACTTGTCAATCTCTATAATATAATATTGTAGATGATATGTGTCATGCTTGCATGAGATTTAAAATATGCTAGAATAGTAATTGCTAGTGAGTGAAGATGTGGTATGCTTGCATGGGATTTTAAATAAGCTAGAATAGTAATTGCTAGTGGGTGATGATGTGGTATGCTTGCATGTTGAGTTTTAACTTCTAATAATTGTTAGTGGGTACCAACTATATGGAAATTGTAGATTTCCCATTTAGCAATAATTAAGGAAGTGTCACTCTGGTGCTGAATGATGAATTAGCAAATTAGATATGTAAAAGTACACACTGCTGCTGATGGGGTAATATTATTCCCTATTGTTTTGGGTTGTGTTTAGTTAGTTAGAAGTTTTGGGAAAGATGAAAGTTTGGAAAAAAAAGCTAGAAGTTTATATGTGTAGTAAAGTTTTGGATGTAATGTGATGGAAAGTTAGAAGTTTAGGGTAGTTGGCGGTGAATTAAACACGGTAGGGACGGTAGGAAGTAGTCCTAGCAGTACTTTTTCTCTATTTGTTTTTTAGAACCGATGGGGTAAATGAAAAGTTGTTGCTGTTGATAGTGTCATTGTTGTCCTTGCTTGCCTCGGGACAACAAAAATACCATATATTCTTGAACAGAGGGTCATGATCCTTTATATTCACCGAAGGAGTACGAACCAATGTCATCTTAATGTCAATATATATATGCTGAATAAATAAGTTAAATGGGCTAAATTGGGTTGGGCAGGCCATGAGAGTTTCTAGAGTTTACCTTCAAACTTTTCGTATTCGTAATTCTGTATTTGGATTCAAATTCCGAACTGGACTACGCTTCTACTGCCCACCTTCTCCCCTTAGTTAAGCAAGGTCGAAACAAATTGTATTTCAAACTTTATACATATTAATTTTATATAATCATGAAAAAACTTTATATTTCAAATTTTCTACTACATGCAAACTATTATTTGAGCTATTCTCTCGTCGATCGAAAAAAATATATGTAGTAACTATCTACATAAAAAATTACACATAGAGGGTTTCTACGTAGAAATATTCGTATAAAAAACTTTTTAAATTAAATTTGAAAAACAAAAGGTTAAGGAAAGATGGTGGGCTGTGAGGCCCATGTGGCATAGGGAGGTGACGGTGTGCCATCATCTGGTTGGTTCCAATCGAAAAGGTTAATTAGCGGCTAGTCGCGCGGGGTGCGTGGCTGGACACGTATCGCGCATGGAGGAGGGGGGGAGGGCGGTGGACGGCGCGCGTGGAGGGAGTTTTCCCCTTTTTTTTATCTCTCTATTTTGGTTTTTTTCGGTTTTTTCTTGTTTTTTTTAAGATGTATATTTGCAAAGTTTGTATTCGTATGTATAGCAAGTTTTGTATTCGTACATATATAAACTTTGTATTTGCGTTTTTTTCAGGTTCTCTTTCTTTTTTTCTGGTTTTTTTTAAGATGTACATCTACAAAGTTTGTATTCGTATGTATACCAAGTTTTTTATTCGTACGAATATAAAGTTTGTATTCGTGTTTTTTTCTCTCGGTTTTTATATGTACATATACAAAGTTTATATACGCGTATGCAAAGTTTGTATACGTGCATGCTAACTTTGTATATGCGTATGCAAAGTTTGTATACATGTATATTTTTTATACGTCAATTTTTTGGTACACATAAAAATTATATATACATATGTGTATACTTTGTATACATACGTAGAAACTTTATACTGATAATACATATGTATTATACAAAGGTTTTTACGTATGTATACAAAGTATATACAAACGTATATATACGCGTAGTAGTACTGTTGTTGTAGTGTAGTAGTTGCACCAGCAGTTGTAGTAGTAGACTAGTAGTAGTACCAGTAGACTAGTAGTAGTAGTAGGAGTCTAGGAGGAGCGGGCTGGTCGCGTGGCTACGCCCCCGCGTGACCAGTCGCTTATTAGGGGCCCCCTCCAGTCGACTCGAGATGTATGGCATTGCACGTATCTTTCAATTCACGCATCCTAAAGGCACATGAGAGCATTCATATATTAGAGTTTATCTGTGTTTAAGGGGAAAAAATATAGGCCGAAGAAGGAGAGGCATATCTGCACTACATGCGTGTCAGCAAAGGTGTGTGGCATGCGACAACGCGGCGCTTGGCAGCAGAGAAATTTCACTCTTTGCCATCAATTTCATTAAAGGATGGATGGATCAGCTGGCAACTTGTGTCACAATATATTCATACAAATGACGTGGCTTCACTTATACACATCTTCATAACAATAACCATACTGTAGAAGATGATTATGTAGAAGGTATAGAATTATAGGGTGTAGAGGAATTAACTAATGTTATAAAACTTTCTTTCAAAAAAAAAAACTAATGTTTAAAAACATAAGCCTATAGATGAATGACACTAAATTCTGAAGATATATTTTAGTAAATAAACTATTTTACATGATTAAATGATAAATTCAGTAGAAAACATTTAATGCAGATGACTATTAATTATGCATCCAAAGGTGCATTGATTGTCCTACCATATTTTTTAAGGAAAAAAAAGATAGCCACAACCATAATTGATATGTTTTTTAATAGATGTAGATTTTACCTAGATTTTCGTTAGATGTTTTCAAACCATTAAAAGGTTCTTATATATAAATTGCTTGAAAATACCAAATAAATCTATTTTTTAAAAAAATTAAATAATTAAAACTCTGTTAACCGTACGCTAATGGTTTTCTCGTTCTTTGTGCACGCTTAATCTTCTATCCTAACCAAACTGGAGGGATGTAGTAGTATGATCTCTCAGCATTTGCCCATTGCTTTTTCGTCGAACTGGTGATCGCCCTTGTCACTCTCTTTAATGATGCTCAGCTTTCTCATCAATCTACCTTATGCTCTTTTTTTCACTGATTAACCAATTGAATAATTTCACCTTGCAAACCAAGCAAAGAGAGCACTTCATCATAAGCAAGCGAGAAACCTTCGAAACCTCCTGCGATTGGGCTGGGCCGGGTGAGATTTTCGTGGGCCTTTGGAAGTTGGAAATTTTGGGTTTCGGATCCAAATTCCGAATCGGACTTACATCAATCAACTTCAAAACAATCGCCTTCCCTCGCATCCTTTCCGTTGCGGTGTAAGCAAAAGCTCGAGCAGTTGAAGGCCATCACCCTCTCGTCGTCGTCGATCCTAGCTACAGATCGATCGGCATGGCGAGCGGCGGCGGCACGACTCCGGCCACCGAGGAGCGGACCACCTGCAGGCGGCGCCACCACCGTGGTAGTATTAGTACTAGTACTGCTGCCGCGACGCTGCTCCGGAGCGTCGCCGCCGCCGTCCTCCTGGTGCTCTTCACCGGCTCCCTCGTGTTCTACGCGCTGTGCGCCGCGGCCGCGCCGCCGGGAGCCTCGCCGGGCGGCGTGGTCACCAGCTGGAAGGCCGGGTCGTCGGCGTGGCTGCTGCTCTGTTTGGTGGTGGACGTGGTCGTCGTCTCCGGGCTCGTGGTCGAGCGATTTGGTGTTGGGAAGGAGGCGTCGTCTATGGTGGTGTCGAGGTCGAGATCGCCGGAGGACGCTGTGCCGGCGTCGATGGACATGTGCTAGTGCTATAGTTTGATATACTCCCTCCGTCCCATAATATCTCAAACCCTAGAATCCCAAGGGAATTTTAGGACAGGTGGCAAAAGACTAAAATACCCTCAGTGAAAGTACATGCAATCATTGGAGACAAATAAAATAGTAGTACTACTCAGCCACCAAGTTGGATAAGCATATTTCTGATGCTGCCATTAAGTGCTCAATATACAAATAATACACAGCAACCAGTGCGCCAAATATTTTGAAACTCAGCATTGCTTCATTGGCGGCAAGCATTACAAATTTCAGCACACACCACTACAACAACCCTATATAAGTTTGAAATGAACCTCAATAGCAGGTTTCCCTCCCACTGAATCACTGCATGAGTCTTCAAAATCACCTCCATGGCTCTTGATCTAAACAAGCCAATAGATGAGGCAGATGAATAGGCTTTGCCTGACCTCAATGATGAAATTGCTGAAGTTGAAATCTATCTTGGTCAGGAGGAGGATCAACTTGGAGGTGATGTCCAGGGAGGTGACAACCATGTGCTTCCTTTTGATCTCAATATTGATGCACCTGGCCCTCAAGTGCTTCCTTTTGATCTCAATATTGATGCACCTGGCCATCAAGGAGAAATGAATCCAGGTAACTTTGCAAGCATTAATATGAAATGAGTAACATTTGTAGCACTGACTAGCATAAATAACTCAGAATCTTTGCTAGTTCTCTGAAAAGATGATCAGTAACATGTGCCTTGATGCAATCGCTATGTTTTTGGAACAAAATCAATCTTTGATAAGTATGAGGAAATTGTTAGGACTTGATTCTATCAATGAGTTGGCCCTAATGAAGTTAATTCCCCTTCCATAATATCACAGGTTATACATTTAGCTAGCTGAACTAATGCAATACTTATCTCCTGTTATAATGCTTATCTAATGTCTAGAATCAATCCTGATATGCTACATACTAAACAGGACAAATCAGAAAGCAAGACCGGTGTTTAAAATCTGTGCACTAGACTCCCTCTACTGAAAAACATGGTTGAGGGTAGAATAATAAAATTGCTACACAAAAAAACTAAATTTCATATGGGTATACAGTTGGTACCTTGATTGTGGTTATTTGATCTCATAATCTCCTGTGTTGATGTTGTACAGCATAAAGGAACATATGTTAATCATTGGTTCCATTAGTTATGTAACTTAATAGATTAGTTAGTAATAAAAGTATTTTGGATATATTGGAAAAAAAGTATAAACATTATTCTTTTAGTCACACACATCTAGTAAGGCAAATATGCCATGGCATGTCAAACATCAAGTATCACCAGCAGCGAACAGGGCACTCTGTTACAGTCTACATAATCATGTTTTCTACAACATGGCAGCCTTTGTATTACTTACTATATCTATTTGCACGCATAGAATGGATGAACTAAATCATTCAGTTATATATAGAGAAACAGAGATGATCACTAAGTGGACATTTCATAGGTCTATCTGGAATAGATGATACTTTGCAAATTGAACACATACCACTTCAGTATTGAATCATGGGTAAAAAGGATTGTGCTTGCAAAAAATATTGCTATTTGACATGGTACTAACTACTGACCGTGGTAATTGTTATTGTAGACAATGGCGATGCAATGGATCAAGTTCTGCAACTTTATGGAGGTCACATCCATAATGCCTTTCCTTTTGATATCAACTCCGATGCCTTCGAGGAACACCTACAAATGCAAGCAGGTACTATTATTACATCATGCCAACTACCTAGAATAATTCAGCAATGCCATTGGCTGCATTAGTTGCATCAATAGTTAAGGATTATAAATTGGATATTTCAGCACATAGTAAATCACAACGAATGATGAGATTAAGGATTATAAATATGCTAATATGTTGTATTTACATAGATTTTCCATGTTAATTGGCTCACAGCCATAGCAATCTCAAAGAAAGCACATACAGTAAATTGTGCCAATGTTTCTCTGCCTTCTAAATGATATGTATGGTTAAATCATATTATAAAGTAAACCACATGGTGAGCCTAACAAGTTGTGCAAGAACTTTATTATCAACATGAGCACTTAATATGGAGATCACATTTCCAGTTTTGCCTACTACGATTGTTCAGTACACATCAAATTATATAATGCATGGTCATGTATAAAAAGTATATGCATGTTGTATCAGCCATAATTTTGCAAGCATGTTCATCCATGACGATAAAAAATTCACCATCTAAATTAGTGCAGACAACTCACCTGGAAATTATTGTTGTAGACATGCAGGAGTACGGTTTGTATGCCGGTGATGTGGACATTGTTTTTGAACACGAGGAGTTGGATGATTCAGATCAGGAAGATGAACAGCCATACAAAAATCTGACCAATATACAAAGGCAACAGATATATATATAGCATTGGTTGGGAAAACTACCAACTGAATCCTAAGGAAAAAGGCTACCACTGAAGTTGCAGAAATGTTTAATGTGAAAAGAGCTAGAGTGCAAGATATTTGGAGAAGAGCGAAGCAATGTCGTGCCCAAGGAATACCAATCGATGTAAGCTCTAGAAAGAAAAAAAATTCTGGTCGCAAAAAAATGAAATCAACCTATCAGATATTGCTAATGTTCCCTTGCAACTAAGGGGCACTTTACGGTCATTTACATCAGCCGCAGGTGTACCAAAGAGCACGCTGCATAGGATGTTGAAAGAACGGATACTAAGACGTCACTCGAACACATTAAAGCCATTGTTGAAGGAAGAGAACAAACGATCAAGGCTGCGATGGTGTCTTTCCATGTTAGATTGGCATACTTTGCCAAATGAACCCAAGTTTGTTGATATGCGCAATATTGTGCACATCGATGAAAAATGGTTCAATACCACTAAGAAAACAAGAAATTTTTACATGGTCCATTGGGAGGATATACAGGCCTGTGCAAAACAAGAATTCTATTGATAAAGTGATGTTCTTGGCAGCAGTGGCTAGGCCTAGATACAATGAAGAAGGTATTTGCACTTTTGACGGCAAGATAGGCTTGTGGCCTTTCACCAAAAAGGTATCATAACATCTTCATATATGCATTTTTAATTACTGACGGCAAGATAGGCTTGTGATGCAAAACTTAATTGTTAATCTAACTTACATAATTTACTATTTAGGAACCAGCACAAAGGGCAAGCCAAAACAGGCCAAGAGGGACTCTTGTCACCAAGACAATCAAGGTTGATCGAGATATTGTCAGATCATTTCTAATTGCTAAAGTCCTACCAGCTATTATATCAAGTTGGCCTCGAGAAGAGCGACACAACACTATATGGATTCAGCAAGATAATGCTCCCTCTCATGTGCCGGTGGATGATCCTCAATTTGCCTATGCAGTATCTCAAACAGGGTTTGACATTCGCCTTATGTATCAGCCTCCTAATTCCCCATATATGAATGCACTAGATCTTGGGTTCTTTGCATCTCTGCAATCATTAACATATAGAAGGATATCTAGGAATATGGATGAGCTAATAGATAATGCTGAGCAGGAATTTCAGGCTTATGATGACAACAAGCTGAATAGGGTTTTCCTAACTCTACAATCTTGCTTGTTAGAGGTTATGGAAGTTGATGGTGGAAATGGATACAGGATTCCTCATATGGGTAAAGAGAGGCTAGAGCGTCTAGACATTCTCCCTAATACCCTTAGTTGTGGTCGTCAGCTATATGACAAGGTCAGAACAGCATTATCCAACCAAGTGCAGTAAATCATGCAACATGAGAAGCTCTATCATGGTTTCAGCTTTTGGTTAAATGTCAGGTTGTATATATGGTAAAGTAAGATCAGTATTACGCAAGTAAATGCAACAAATCATGTAATATAGGAAGTTTTATGGTGGTTTCAGCTTTTGGAATATGTAATATAAAGTTTTATGATGGTTTGAACTTTTGGACTATGTAATATAGGAAGTTTTATGATGGTTTCAGCTTTTGGCTTAATTTCAGATTGTACATAAGACATTGTAATATCAGCATTAGAGTAAATCATGGTGCAAACGTCTCCTTAATTTCAGTCACCACCATAAACCATCATAATTTGAAATATTTCGATACATTACCATCATAACCACCTAATATCATCTACTACCGTAATTACACATGCTTTCATACAATACCAAAAGTGTGCCTACTTTGACAGACTGTCAAGGCTTCTATTCATAACCACCTAATCTTATCTAATACCATATTTACACATAATTTCATACAATACCAAAAGGGTACTTATTGAGTTGCTTTGTTAGGCCACTATTCATAACCACCAAACCAGCACACAAACATCACATAATTGAAGCATTCATCTAAATTTTGCATTCTTAAAACACTCCAGAAATTTCTTTACCGATTTTTCCAATGCATCTTGGTCTTGCAGGAGGTCTTCTAGGCCACTATCATCATATGGATTTTGCGCATATCCCCTAATGACCATGTCTTCATCATAGTCGCTTGACTTCACCTCCTCGCTGTTTCCCTCCTCGCTGCTCACATCCTTAGCTTTTCCCCTCATCTCCTCGATGCCGATTTGCTTGACGCTTGCCTTCTTCTCAAACAGTGCCGTGTGGTCGCTATCGTCAACCAACATTGTCCTGAAAAGGATAAAACAATAGCATTTGTAAACAAGTCACAACAAAATAACCACTTTTTTTAACAATATAATTACTGAAGATATGCGAGAAGATGAAATTGAAATTTCTTTTCAAAAATATCACATTTCTGCCATATATTTATATTTATATCGATGTAATTGTTGAAACAAAATAATCATTGTTCTCAAATAAGAAAACCTTGATTAATCATTACTGTTTAAAGAAATCAATCAGGTTGACAACTTGGTAAGTGGGTTAGGAATCAATCAGATATGCTGCATCTATCTATATTCAACTTATTTAGGCAAAGCACAAACAAACAATATCGATACGTGACATAAGTCCTCATCTATTGCTGTCACTTGCTGTCAATTAGAATGAGCTGGCTACTGTGGTTGAGAGGAAGAATATGCATGCAGGTTGAAGACAAAAAGAATATGCATGCAGCTTTCGCCCAAGAAGAAAATATGCCATTGGACCCAATCGAGTACTTAACGAAAAAAAACACTGTCTGTCTCAAAACATAAAAAACACACTGTATATCCTTTTCTTTTGTGCCATAAAGCAGCAACCAGTCTATTAACACACACCGCCGAATGGTAATCATTCATCCATGAGTTTAGTTAAGTGCTTCACGATTTTGTAGGCTCTGTAATTTGAAGGATCACATTTCAATCACCTAGAAATCACTTTGGGCTTTTAATTAGCTGATTAATTGGGTAAGTCTTGTGTTGCTAGCTACGGAGTAGATTTCTTTTGTTAGTTTAGTTTTGTGCTAATGACTTGGAGATGCAGGACACTGCGTAACTATCTTACGCACAGAGGAATATGAGATCTGCTTAGTATATTTTAGGATGGAATAGGCTGAGAGGCATTGGAGCCAGGGAGATCGAGTGGGAGATGTACCTTTGAGTCAATCGACGCATACCGCCGCCAAAAACCCTAGTTGTTGATGCCGGAATTAGAATAAGAGGCTGGTCAGCCTCGTCCTCCACTGTCCCCTCCTTTATCAGATTCGCGGGCGCCGCCACCTCCTTGAGCATTACATCAGCCGCCTTGCAAACCTCCGACGCCGCCGCTACATCCCAACAGCCTCCACCCACCGCCGCCCCCTTCTTGCAAACCTCCGCCGCCGCCGCCGCATCCCAACTGCCTCCACCCACCGCCGCCGCCGCCTTCTTGCAAACCTCCTCCGCCGCCGCCGCATCCCAACTGCCTCCACCCAGCGCCGCCGCCGCCACCGCCTTTTGGATCACAACCGCAAGCCGACACGCCTCCTCCGCCTTGGCTCGTGTCTCTTGAATCAAAACCCTAAAATTTTCCGCCGCTTCCATGAACGGCGCTATCGAGCCAAACACTTCCACCGCAGCCATCTCCGGCATCCGATCTAACTGCTCGTAAACCTCCCCCGCCGCATCTGAGTGGAAGCAACTAGTTGGACGGGGAACTTGGCAGGGAGATGTGGGAGCCTGGCGGAGCAGCGTAGAGCAAGGAGGGACGTGCGGGGAGGAGCGGGAGGGAGGTAGGGAGGGAGTTGGAAGCTTGCTAGGGTCGGTCATCTAGACGCCGCCGCGTCGATGCCTTCGATCCAGAGGGGTGAAGGGCGATGGGGAGGAACGGGAGGGAGAAAAACACGAGAGGGGGAGAGAGAAGCGTACGAGTAGTATGCGGCTGGGAGGAGATAAGGTTCTGGGAGGAGAGAGGAGTATTCTGGAGAAGTCGCCACTCACCACCCACCTATCCCCACACATGATACGGATAGAGAGGTCACGCGGTTTTCTGTGCAGGAATCGATTTTTTTGGGACAAAGCCCTCCCTCCAGGAATCGAGATATTGTGGGACGGAGGGAGTAGTTCGTTGGAGCTGTACGTACGTTTATAGAGTGATATATAATACTCCCTCCGTTTCACAATGTAAGTTATTCTAGTATTTCCCACATTTATGTTGATGTTAATGAATCTAGACATATATATCTATCTAAATTCATTAATATCAATATGAATGTGGGAAATACTAAAATGACTTATATTGTGAAACGGAGGAAGTATATAACAATCCTATTTTTCAATAGACCACTCCATTAACTTTTAGTATGATGTTTGATTATTTATCTTACTAAATAATTATTATGTATTTTATTGTGACATGGTTTAGCATTTAAGAAATTTTAAGTATGCTTATATTTTAGCATATTTGTACTTAATTTATGAACGATCAAACGCCAAATATTAGAAAAACGAAGGTAATATATTGGTTTGGATATAGCTTCATTTGTAAACCTTTTGGACAACATGTGAAACTGACGTGTAAAACAAAAGGACATCCTGAAGTGTTGTACTACATTCATTTCATATTAAAAGTTGCTCTTTTTTTTAACTTTTGCTCAAGTTTCTGGAAAAGTGCAGGAACATCTTCAACACAACACAAACATATCATCAAAATATGTTCAATATTATATTTAATGAAACTAGTTTGGTATTGCGGGTGTTGGTAGTATTTTCTACAAATTTGATCAAACGTAAAGAAGTTCGATTAGGAAAAAAGGTCAAAGCGACTTATAAAATGAAACAGAGGGAGCACCTACTAGCTACAGCAAAAATCAATATACCCAAATTAGGTGCCACATGTTTCTACTCCGTGTATAAGCTCTGTTACTAGCGTACTATATCTATGTTATTATGTAATAGAGTTCAAACTTTTAAATTTAACTCCAAAAGCTAGGTTTGAAGTAGAGTTGTGGAGATTCACCTCACTATTTCATTTTGTAAAAGCACTTTAATCTGCTCCACGCCCTTTCTAGGTGAAGGTTAAACACTTTGGTTGAGCTCCATCTTTAGGAGAGGTGTAGTTACAGATCTACCAAATAAACCGTATATATGTATATAAATATTAGCAATATCATACATTGCAATCACAATTAGTAGAAAGATCAAACATTAGAATTACTCTCCATGAAAAGTCAATTAGATATGTTTTGGGACGGAGGGAGTAGGATACTCACTACTAAGAAATTTTTCAAAGCATGTTTTCCTACTCTATAAAGTTATTATTCCCTTTGTTTCCAATTTATCATCGCATTATAAGAGTGTACTAAGATAAAAAAAAGCTAATAGCTATCCCGTAATATATTTACTCCGTTAACTAATTCGATGCATGCACATTCCCATCCCCATTACTTCCTAGCACCAAACAGACCAAGACTTGTAAAAAGGTTGTGCGCACATATGTGTACATATATGTCCATTTATTTTCATACACAAATAACGAAAATACTAATATGATAATCATTTTGGAATAACTAATTTTTGGGAACGGAGGTTGATTAACTGTGATATACTATAAAGTAGCCTTTATTTTAAGGAGATATGTAATCCTCTAGTTTGAGTGGTTTCGCTTCTGCCAGCCTCGAGCAACTTCCTTCAATTCGTCTGCTCCGACGTGGCAGGTTCAAGCAAATGAACCTGATTCGTCTCTGTTTCAGTTTTGCAATTGGCAAAATTGGTTCTGTAGCAATAAAAAAAACACCGATTTTATATTTATAGCATTGAAAGTAATTTGGTGCCAGTATACTGCCCTCGTGCACTTGTCTACGTTGGACTAAGCTAGAGTTTTTAATCTGCCGCGTCCTGAAACTGACGGCAAAGGGTAATTTACCTTCAAGCAGATGGTAAACTACGGCAACGGGGATCGCTAAAAAAACTTGGAGCATTGTCTTGGTAGGGAAAATGGCAAAGGAGGTAAAAGAGAATCATGGCTTCAGGTAAATCAACAATTTCCATCACCAGAGCCAGGTTGAGAATAACGTAAATCTTTTGAGACGAATACAAGATTTAGAAACAAACATCAATGAAGAAATAAAATCAGCAGGATCATCACAACTGATTTCTGTCACGACAGGCACCAAAAGAATCTTTAGTCACTCATCAGGAACAAAATCCACAATCTTTCTTCTGTCAAAAAACGAGGGATTAAACTTACATTCATACCTTTTGTATAGGCCACCGATACACCCTAGATACAGCTTACAATGCTCATTGAACCCTACATGCAGTAACAGTGTTTCTACGCGCTACAAAACTCTTCGTAAACTGGTGAATACTCACCTTGATGAGCCCACAGCCCAGTAAACAAAGAAGCAGATCACCTAGTGTGAAAAGGTAATCTATGTATGTATACGTCAAATCATGAAAACAGGAAATCTTCTATTTCCTCTGTGTAACATCCTACCGTATGCCTTTCTCACCTGTGCAAGGGGAACTTCTCAACACAAAAGGGAGTGGATTCGGTATCAGCATTAGTACGGCGAGTAAGAGATGGAGGGGACGGGCTGGACTGTCAGGAGGACAAACGTAGTGCGATCTCATGAAGGAGCAATCTCTTCTGAGCAGCATCAATCACACCATTGCACTCTGCATTCATGAGGACCTCGCTCATGATAGCAGCGGCATGCCCGGTGGGTTCTTCGGATGTCCTCCTCAACATGAACATCTGAGCACAAGAGCAAGACATCGTCAGTTGGGCCATTGTAATAAGTTTTACATACATCTTCAATATGATTGTGTATGTGAATATCAGATGCAGAGTGCTGAAACAGGCATGAAGTTGGTTGTCAGTTCAATGAACTCCACTTTGTAGGTTGTATATCATGATTTGACTAACACAAAATAGGATGCTTTAAGATCACATAATATACAACAGAAATTTGGAAATACTAATTGAAGTCACAGCTACCTTATAGTTCTCAAGAAAACCACAGACTATTTCACAAAGCGCGAATAAAATCATTTTCCACCAGTACATAAAGAAGCATCTTCATGTGTAAAAAAGATAATATATAAACTCTCCATGCGTATCTAGTTCATCTAGAGAGATAAAGTACCTGCCCACGATGAGATATCTCAAGGCACCCGGGTGGCTGGATCCATGGCTCACCATCAACCTGAACAGGGAATGAACTGTGGAGATGCAACCTTATAACTTTCCCTTGGGCTAGCCTGTGTGCTCTAGAGAGTCCCACCTATCAAACAAAGAAAGAAGACTGAGTTGCTGCCTTCACATTATCATTACTAAAAGGGTAAAAGCTAAAACTACCAAGTGCAGCAGGAACAGAAGACTCCTAGAAAATGGAAAGATGGAGAATAGTCTAACAACATGCAAGCATACACATCAAGCTTACCTGCAGTTTTCCTAGATGCCACGTCCCAGATATACAGACAACCTCAAGCATTTTGTCATGCATGGATTGCAAACCAAAATCATCATCATGTTCATTGTCGTTTTGCCAAAGATCAACACCGCCCATGTAGCTAGGAATGTTCAGAACAATCACACCTTCTGCGTCCTGATGAGAAATAGCATATATATAAGAAGCTCATCCGATGATAAATCAGAGTGTGGACTGTGGAGGTACATAAAAGATGCGTAGCATGTTACCTCTGGAATTTCGACGTTCTTTCCATCAACTTCAAGACTAACATGCCATGGTAAATCAGAACATGACCTATCCATGATATCCTTAGCGCCTTCTCTAGCATATATCAGCTTGTTGACAAACTGCTCAGTAGAAAATTGAATTATTATTATTATTTTGACTAGTAAAAGTGATAGAAGAGGAGGTAGCATAAGATCAAATGCTAAGGGAGGTCAATATTTCAGGGGTTTCCATAAAAGGTTCAATTTCTACAGGGATTTTGCTTGTTCCAAATGGAGAAACATCATTTTGCAGAAAAATATATGTAGAAATCAATCCCTACCTGGCTGCAAAATTTATCTGGTTTTTCCTCTCTCGTAGTGTGGAAGTCATATGCAACCTTGGCATCACATCCAACACCTACAGGCCAAACATGATAAAATAACATATTCAGCAACTTCTGGTTGAAGTGAGATATATATCATAATATCGAGTAAGATGATGGAAGTTGAGAGATGCATCGTACCTATATAATTAGTCATAAATTTAACTTGCTTGGTACATTGATCTTCTGCTCCATTCTTCTCTTTGATGGCAACATTCCAGCGATCAAGCACGGTAACTGCTGCGTGGTCAACATCATTTAGAAGTGCACATATTCCCCCTTG